GTCCAGGAGGGGAGTAGGGCCATGCTTCGATCTTTCTCCAGTAGCTGACCTGTGATCAGAGAAGGTGGCTATCAGACAATGCCAGGCCTCACAGCACAGGTGGGGCTTCGAAGCCCTGCCTGTGCCCCTCCTTCTACAGGAAGCAATGTAAGTAGGCTTTACTCCACCCACAAATGAGGTGTGAGCTCATATGCTTGTGAGCAAACTCCCCAGCCAGAGATAGCCCTAGGCTGAGAACTCAGCTTCCTGAATTCAAATCAGTTCTTCTTCCTCAATTGGTCGGAATTCTCTACATTGGAATGCCAAACTTGGAGTCTCCAAGCAAAACCTTATTATGAAATAGGTTTATCACAGATGTAATTAATATGAACTCATCATGGAGTGGGGTGGGACCTAAATCCAATGGCTGGTGTAACTTTTTTTTTTTTTTTTTTTTAATGGTGAATGAGGGATTGGGGAGATGGCTTAGTTGGTAGAGTTCTTGCCTTACAAGCATGAGACCTGAGTTCAGGTCCCAGGCTCCATGTGGAAAGCTGGGCTTGGAGGCTCACTTGCAATCCCAGTGATAGAGAGATGAGAGGAAAAGGCATGTGGTTCCCTGGAAGCTGCCAGTGCCAGCTGGCCTGGTATATATATATCAATGAAGCAGAAGCAGCAAGAGAGACCCCGTGTCTCAAGATAGGGTAGGGGGCTCTATACATGTGCCATGGCATGAACACACCTGTGTACATGCACACAAAGAAATACTGCCTCCTTCCCCAAAGCTACTTATTAAAGTATGTGAAACCTACTGGGAAATGAGGTCTCATAGTATCCTGAGACTAGCACCCCTGAGAGTCACTGTCACTTGTGTTAAAGGACTGAAGCAGAAGCAATCATGGTACTTAGGAATCACTGCAGACAAAGCACTGGGAAGGGGCTGCCTGACATGATCTCTGGCTTCTGAGGTACTGGGATGTGAACAGCAGCTAGGTGGATGCTCCAAAGAGGTCCAGATCTGGGGGCTCTATATTCAGAAGCCGAGGTTCAGAGGGTAGGAGAATAGCCTAGGAATCTGAATACTCACAAGGTTTGAAAGTAGTTCTAACATAGTCAGGCTGGAAAGATATGATCTGGAGCCTTTGGGGATAGAGGCTGTGAGCCCATGGCAAGCCAGGCTGCGATTCTCTGTGCTGTATTCTTACCACACACCCATGTGGTGTTCCTAAACAGTATTAACTTCATGTTCTACAAAGAAAACAAGGAAAAAAAAACTGTTATTCTTCTGATTAACAGGGAAGCCATCCAACTGGCTGCACTTGAGTTATACCCCTGAATATTAAATTCAGACTTCTTTCATTCTTATTTATTTTATTGGATTGTATGGGGATATTTTAAAAGCGGAAGGTGGTAGAAGGGAGGGAAGGCTTCTGGGAAAGGGGCCATTTTTACCACTTGCTGAAGGCCAATACTCCATCTAGAAGACTGAAGTAGACACAGGCGTCCTTGACTAAGTGAAAGTTCTTTTTCTTCCAGAGAATTTGGGTTCATGCTTTATAGCCAGCTTAGGGCTTTTCGGGTTCTCTTCTTGGAAGCAGATTCCTGGCTACACGGTTCTCACTCAACTGTTCCCTTTCTACCTCCCACCATGTCCCTTTGATGGCCTCTGATGTTCATAGGCACTGATGCCCTCCACTGTGAAAGTGATGAGATTCTCAATAAACCACTTGAAATTAAGTGTGGCACTTATTTGAATTGTTGCCAAGAGTTTTCAGCCTCTGTTCACTAATCCCAAGTGAGGACATCTCAGTGCCTGAGACAAGGCTCTGACCAGCTGATCAGAGCATGCAGGATACTGGTGCTGCTTAGGGAGGGGCTCATGACACTGGAGCTGTGTGTCTCCAGCAGAGACAACATACCAACCATCCTTTGAGGGACACCCCAGATCCAAACTGTAATAACCATTACTGCATGACTAGAGTGTTCCCTCATCAGCATCCTAGACACCTAAGCTTTTCCCAGGAGTTCTGTTTCCTCATGTGCCACATCTTCTATCAGTCTCTCTCTCTCTCTCTCTCTCTCTCTCTCTCTCTCTCTCTCTCTCTTTCTCTGTGTGTGCACATGCATTCTATGCATGTCTTATGTGTGTGGAGGTATATATACACTTGTGTGTGCATGCATAAAAGGCTGGAGGTTAATCCTGGGAGTGTCTGGCTGGGTGACTAATCACCTTGTTTTTTGAGATAGAGTCTCTTGTTGAACCTGAAGCTCACTGGTTGAGCTAGGCTGGCTATCCAGTGAGCCCCAGGGTGCCTGTCTCCACCTTCCCAGTGCTGTAAATTCAAGGGTACACTACCACTGCCATCTTTTTGTTTGTATGGGTTCTGGAGATAGAACATGGGTCCTCCTACTCATGCAGCAAGCACTTTACCAACTGGGCCACCTCTCCAGTCCTGCTCTCCCTTTATCTTGCATAGTCCCTTGTAGCTTTTCTAAGAAAGAAAAAAAAAAAAAAAAACAAATGTGAGCTCAAGACCTCGTCCATCTGAAGATATTCCGTGATCATGTTCTATAGGAGGTTTTGCTGAGATGGAGTTTATGTTCAAATCCAAGTCTTTCCACATTGCAAAGTCCCAGCCCACACAGTCTGGGCAGGTGCTAGAGATACCTGATGTTGTTAGATGCCTGCTCCCCAACATGTAGTCTATTTTTTTCTCTCCGGAAAATTGCTGGGTATTCTCTTGAGCTCCCAGTTCTGAAGTCTCAGGAGGATGAAGGCTGTAGTGCGTCTTCTCTGTCCAGTGTCTGGACACACAGCTCTTCAGTCTCAAAACTCCTGCCTTTGCCCTAGGGAAAAAAAAAGGTCTTCTTGATTCATGTTTAAGATCTTTGAAGTTTTTTCTTTTTTTTTTCTCCACATCTCCTGCCTTCAGACACAGACATTTTTGGTGATCAGAGTGAGAGATCAGGTAGCACTAGTTCTCATAGTTGCAAGTGTCCCAGGAACCAGGGGCACTAAAGACACCATGAGCTTTATAAAGACATGGTGAGTCTTACTCACACCCACTCTAACAGCTTGGCAGTGCTCACTCGCTTCTTGATGCCTAGCATCTAGATAAAGAGATGCTGGCTCACAGGGTAAGCAAATCAAGGCTCCACGGATGCTAAATAGCAAAGCTGGGTCTCAGATCAGTTTGCAGAGCCCTGCCCGTCATGGTGTCTACTGATTGGCCTGGGTGAGAACCTAGCAGTTAACAAGGCTTCTTCAAGGCCACCTGCTGGCCAGGTCAATGAAGTCAGAGCTCCCAAGTCTTTCGGCTGGGTCCTGGATCCCAGCTTCATGCTTACGCTTACTGATCTGTTGTGCCCTCCTTCATGGGCATGTGAAAAGACTGAGCTGCCTAGTGCCAGCCTTCAAGGACAACCGAGCTTGGCCTCCTGCCTTCTTTCCACTCAGTCCTTAATAAACCAGGAATATCTCTCCAACCACTGCAGACCTCTGGCTTGGTCCAAGGAGCTGGGATTGTTTAAAAGAACTTTCATTTCCTTTGAGCCAGGATTCCAGGCCATCAAAAAACCTTCTTAATGAATGGCCACATTGCCTTTTTTTGGAAGTGTTTATGGACTTGCCAACACAGACAGGTTACCCTAGCGCTGCTGAGTTGTCCTCATAGGCAGTCCGGGGTTTCCTGGAAGCTGCCCAGTGGTGGAGACCCTGGGGCTCTGTTGGCTCTTCAGAGAGACTCCCAACCACCTTATTCCCAGCCTGCCTCTTGCCTCTGTACTGCGTTCCCTTGCTGGCTAACTCTTTTATTTTATGGGTTTGGGGAAACTGAAACTTTTTAAAGACTCAGTCTCTCCACTTTGTTGAAGATAAAATCAAGTTCAAAGCCTGCCATATTTTTCAAGTTAGTGGAGAAAACTTGTGCAAACCCCCCCAAAAACCCAGTCTAGACCTGATGCTGATTGGCTGGATGAGGTTAAGCAAGAGGCTCCTTTGAGTCTCTCTCTCTCTCTCCCCCACCCTCTCCCTCACCTGCCTATATGTGTGTTTGAACTCGTGTGTGTGTGTGTGTGTGTGTGTGTGTGTGTATCTGTGTTGATATACAGGTGAGGGTGAACGTGTATGGATGGAGAGGCTGGAAGACAACTACTTCAGGTGTGGCTCCTTGGGTCTCGTTGTCCTCCCTGTTTTTTGAGCAGGGTCTCTTATTGATCTGGAGTTCTCTAGGAAGCCTTGGCTCTTCCTGTTTCCCCCTCCCCAGTGCTGGATTACAGGTGTATGCAGCCATGCTGGGCCTTTTTATGTGGCTACTGGAGATTGAACTTGAGACCTTGTGCTTTATGGACTACGCCATCTCCACAGCCCGAGCCTCAGTTTCTTTCTTTACTTCTTCTTCTTCTTCCTCCTCCTCCTCCTCCTCCTCTCTTCCTCCTCCTCCTCTTCTTCTCCTCCTCCTTTTCCTTCTCCTCCTCCTCCTCCTCCTTTTTTTGTAATTTCAATACTATTTTTAATTGATACAAAATTATACATGTATCTTTATCATGCACAGCATGTTTAAAAATACAGAGTCAATCTACTTTAAAAGATATTTTTCTCAAAATTTTTTTTGTGGTTAGAACACTTAAAACTCATTTTCTTCCAAATTTTCAAAATATGATTCATTGTTCTATAAATAATAAGGTACACAACAGGTTGTCTGTAAAGCTTAACTGAAACTTCGTATCCTTTGACCAACATCTCTTAATCTTCTGGCTCCTACTTATACTCTAAGTATACCATTTTCAGTATCTCTATCGGTTCAATTTGTCTTTTTAAGATTCCACATGTGAGATCGTTGATATCTGTCTTGCTGTGCCTGCCTAGCTTCTTTGATCATAACGCACTGCAGGCTCATCCCATGTTTTAAACATGATTTTATGATTCCTTAGAACCAAATAGTATTCTGTCAATATGCCATACTAGATTTAAATGCTGCCTTGTCTGGAGATAGTAGCAGCACACTTTGAGGTGGCTCGGTCTAAGACGATGAACTGGAACTCTGCAGATTAAGCAACTGTTTGCTATGATATACATCATTTTCTTTGTCATCCTGCCCATCCAGTGCTTTTCTTATACAGCTCTTCAACTCCTCAATCCCTTCTCCAGTAACTGTTGAGATGGGAATGATACGCTGGAACTCTACAGCCTTCTCTGGAATCATCTTTGTTTCAAATAAATGCAGAAAATCTTTAGGGCTCTGGAGCTGCTTCGTCAGTTCATGAAGTTTGACTTGGACATCCGGCAAGTCTGTCTCATTAACTTGGACATCCGGCAAGTCTGTCTCATTAACGACCAAGAGTGTAGGTTTTGTCTGCAGTTCTTCTTTGTATAACTCCAACTCTTTTGTAAGAAGTATTATAGTTTCAAAGGCAGTTCTGTATGGAGTTACAGAAGAAAGCTGAAATCCAGAAATATCAACAACAAAAAGCAGTTGTCGGGTTCTCTCTAAATGCTTGAGAAACTTGTGGCCCATGCCTTTGTTCATATGTGCTCCTTCTATTGAACCTGGGAGATCAGCTACTGAAATCTGTTTGAAATCATTGTACATAATCTTTCCAAGTTGAGGCCTTAGTGTTGTAAATGCATAATCTGCAGTCACAGTTGTTGCTTGGGAAACCCGACTTAGTAAGGATTTTCCAGCATTTGGGAATCCTACTAGGCCTTCATCAACTCCAACTTTTAGATCTAGGTGAATTATTCGCTTCTGGCCTTTCAAAGGTAAGAAATTTATATGCAATTTACCACCAAGGCCACCTTTAGCAACCAGAATTCTGTCTTCTTCTTTATTGAGTTCTCGTAGCACTTCACCATTTTCATCATTTACTGAGATACCCACAGGAGCAGGTACTTCACAGTCCTTTCCCTTGGAGCCCTTCAGTGAGCTCATTCGACTGTTTGCTCCTCCTCCAGCCAAAAACCATTTCTGAGGATATTTGTTTTTAAGTTGTTTTAAGGTCATATTTTTATGGCCCACAACCCAGATGTCACCACCTCTTCCACCTTCTTCACCTGAACGAGGGTAACCCATTCCATCACTTCCTCCCTTGGTGAAGATTCTTAGGTTATCAATGAAATGTCCATATTTTCTCAACAGCATGCAACTGCAGGGCACCATGAGCTCCAAGGGCCGAGCCTCAGTTTCTTGATGGTTCCAAACAAGTACTGATAGCCTGTAAATTAGTCTCATATGCTTCTGAGATTCCTGAATCCCACAGAGCCAGAGCATGGACATAGCCACCAGCTTGCCTCTGTGCCCCCCAAGGTCTCTAAGGTGGCCAGCACCATGGGGGGTGAGGTGCTGTCCCATGTCCCCTTCTTCATGAGAAGATGGAGAGAGTGGTTTGCAAGAGAAACAACTCGTCTATCCTCTCCTCATCACAAGGACTTGTTCTGCCAAACTGCATTTTTTTTTCCTGTGAAAACAGTTAGCTGAGAATGTGTAAGCCAACTCAGTCACACTGGCTCCTCCTAACTCGAGGTCTTAGTCAGACAGACGTTTGACCAGTAAATACTTGATTCCAAATTAAACGGGCCTGAAGGGAATTCTGCTTTGGAGCAGACTTCATGGGAAACAGGATGAAAAAGAAAATGATATTTTTGAGCCACTATATGAATTTTCTGAGAAATAGAAGCATGTAACTTGTAATTACTTTGACTTGCCCAGAGGGAACAAAAACACAGTGGCCAATGGTGTGGACTCTAAGTACAGATTTTATGGTTCAAATCCAAGGTCTGCCAGTTAGCCCTCAATTGCTTACTCACCGTGGGCCCATGCCTTCACCTATTGGTGTTCCTCATCTGTAAAATGACATGAATGTAAATTAAGTATATAATTAGATGCAATGTATTCATTGGAATGTATTAAGTATTTTCTCCATTGCAAAGTTGGGAGAATCGTGTGTATGTGTGTATGTATAAGCACACATGTGTATATGCACAAGTGTTTATGCATCTGTATGTGCATGTATGTGTGTATGTGTGTATGGCAGGTGGCAACGTGTGGCACACAGGAAGCATCCCATCTTCATCAGCAATCATTATTAGGAAACTCTACTCTTTCAGCGGAACTGATCCCTGAGGGCTTACAGACCCATGTCTCTGCTCTGGGCACACAGGTTTGCTTCTATATATTGTTGGTGGGACCATTTCAAGCTTTAAATTACTGGTGGGTTTTCCATGGTCACAGAACTAGGAAGCAAAGACTGCTGGGTTTGGCCTGAGTGATCCACAAAGTCCATAGTTCCTGCTCCTTCGTGGAGCACCCAAGTTGTTTTTTTTTTTTTTCCCAGAATGCTCAGGGTAAAGCATTTTTGGCTCATTTAATTTTCTGGTTAGCCAACAAAATCTATCCTCAGCATCGTTGGAAGGCTGAACTAGGGGAGTAGACACAGAAGCTCTGAAAGCGAGGGAACCAGACTGCTTGTGGATTGCGCAGCAAGTAAGCTTTGACAGATTAGAAACCATTTTAATGAGACTTTGAAAGTCCAACAGCAGCAATGCAAAGAAACAGAGTGTGAAATGTGGCAAAAGGTTTGCTTTGCAGGAGATTCTCAGCCTCCTGTGCATCTACTGGAGAAGTGGGGCTGGCAGGTTAGCATCCCTAGCAGACACAGTATGGGGTTGGGGCTTCTCACTGCAGGGCTGAAGCGTGGCACCCTCATTGCCTCAGTGGCTGGGAGCGACTGCTTGAGCCTTTTGAGGTGCTCCTCAGAACTGACCTGTCCACTTTCAGACAATCCTGGGGTGCTGTGAGAGGCTGGAGGGGAGGACAAATCCTCCTGGGAGCTTGTCCTGATTTATCAGGGGGTCCTTGCCAGGCTAAGCCCAGGCAAGCACAACAGAGGCCACTCTCTCAAGCCCCTCCCTCGTGTGCTTAACTAGATTCACCATCTGCTTCTAGGGGTTCCCAGACCAAGCTGTCTCCTAGCCACACCCTGTTCCTGCTCACAGAGCCACAGGCAGTGGGAACTGGGATAGAGAAGGAAGTTCCTAGGCTGCCTGTGAGCCTCTCAGAGTGGGGGACTCTCTTTTCCCATCACGTGTGGATTGACTTCCGTCTGTGACAAAACACAAGTAACCAACTTAATAAAAGGAACAATTATTTTGGCTCAGAGCTCACAGTCCTGCTGCTGTGGGGCCTGTGGCAAGGCTGGCTGCTGTGGTAGGAAAACTGAATGGAGACATTTGCTACCTTCATTGTGGCAGTCCTAGGAAACAAAGGACAGAAAGAGAGCAGTAGGAAGTCCCCTTCAAGGCAAGCGCTCAGGGACTCAACTTCCTTCTCAGAGGCTCCACCCATTCTCAGAGGCCCCACCTACTACTCGAAGTCTCTTCCATCTTCTTTCAAGTCATCGTGGGCCTTTGGTGACATTTCGGATCCACACCACCCCCTTACGATCAAAGCAACCTGAGGATCCATCCCTCACGGAAGTGCTTCTGGGTGGCCAACAGAGAGCAACTCTTCATCAAGTGTCTTTTCTTCATCCCTAGGTGGGGGGCACTTGAGTAGCCATTTCCAGTGTGTTGTGTACATACCTGGATACAGAAGAAGCAGTTGCTAGTAGGGTTTGTATACATTTGATTATTAGAGTAGTGGTCCACGGTGGGACACGCACACACTCGGGTCCTGGAACAGCTGTCTCCAGTGGGATATACAAACACTTACTGTCTTTCCTTTCTCCCCAATCACTCTCTTCCAGCCACTCTGGACTCTGCCTCTTCAGATCTGCTCACAGGGACCTTCAGCCCGAAATGCCCCTTCCATGATGCCTGCTTGGGTTACCTCCTCTTATAATCGGAACTGTGTCCCCTTTGCATCTCTCTTAAACCTCTGAAGTGCCCATTGAAGCCTGATTTGGAAATGGAGTCTGCTCAGACTTAACTAAGATGAGGTCATACTGGGCCAGGGTGATATTCTGATAAAAAGCCCAAACTGAGGGGCTTGGGAAGATGGCTCAGTGGATAAGGTGCTTGCTGTGCAAACACGAGGACCCAAGTTTAAATCCCCAGCACCCAGGTAAAAGCCAGTGTGGCAGGATGCATCTATAACCCCAGAGCTGAGGAAATGGGCAGAGACAGGCCAGTCTCCACAGTTCAGAAGGCAGCCATCTTAGCTCATCAACAAGCTCTGGGTTCGTTCGTTAAGAGACCCTATCTCAAAAGTAAATGAATAAGTAATATGGGGAAGAGAGGAAAGATGGTGACATTGATGTCTGGCTTACACACATATGTGGATACACACACATGTGCGCACACACAAAGGACAGACACCCAGGAGAAGGATGTATGAGGAGGGGGATGGAAAGCAGAGATGTAGGTGGGCATGACAACCATGAGATTCCCCCACCCCCACCCCTAGAACCTCCAGCAGGAGCTAACCCAGCTGACATCCTGACCTGGCACTTCAGCCTCCAGCATGGCAAGAAAAGCCATTTCTGTTGTTTTAAGACATCAACTTTGACTTTTCCTACCTGCTCTAGGGGGCCCATCTCACCTGTTTTGGAAGCTACTCCTACCCCACCAATGCCTCCCAAGCCCCCTATTCCACAGGCATTCTCATGGTGCCAGAACCTGTAGGGCTCCTGGCAACCCTGCACTATCACTATCTAGGATTTCAAAATGGAGAGAGGAGAACACTCAACCAAGGGGCAGAGAACATGTGAGCAGTGCCTCTCAGCACAATTATCCGATAATCCGGGGAATGCTGGATCTGTCTGGCATTGAAGGACGGTCCTCTGAATCCTCGATGATACACCTGTCATTTTTCTTATTAAATCCTACTGTGGGGAGGTGGGCAGAATGTGTGTTCATTTGTGTGAGTGCAGGCATTTGAGTGTGTGGAGGTTGGAGGGGCAAGCTTGGGTGTTGGCCTCCTCCTTCTACCTCATTTGAGACAGAGTCTTTGCTGAATTCTCCTGTCTCTATCTTGTCTGTCCCATCTTGCCTCAAAAACTCTTTTCCTACTCTTTAGATGGATTTCCATGCACAATGGCTCTCTGAAGGCCCAAGTGTTGATGGGCACCTATCACACTGGTAAATGAACCTTCAGCATGTCCTCCTGGCTTGCTATGAAAGGTAGAGCTGCTTACTATCTATAACCTTATCTTCCCCATCTGGAAAATGGGCCACTCATGATCTCTATGTTTTGAGATAGTGTGATCTGTGGGTGATATAACCTATGGATGTCTCTAGAGATTAAGGACTTTTCTAACGGCTGCCAAACCTGTGCCTGGTGTCCTTACGGAGGGGAGAGAGTGCAGGAATGAATGTGCTCAGTATTTAGGTAGTTTCACGAGAAGGAGAGAGCAGAGTATAACCGAAGTCCTGAACGTGTTGCCTGTTGCCTGTGCCCTGGCAGAAATGCTGACTGTGCCCTTGCCTGTGAACTTGGAGGCTGTTGGCATGGTGGCAGAATATATTCCAGGCCTCTGCTCCGCAGGCACTTCTGCTATGTCTCAGAGGATTTTTTTTTTTTTTTAAAGAAAAGCTGAATAATGGATTTGGAAATACTGAGGTCTATGACATGGAATGAAGTCTATTAAGCTTTTTGTGTGCCTTCTGCTCCTGCATAAGAGCACAGAGGGGAAGACAGACCACCCCCTTTGGCAGCTCTCAGTGAAGGATGGGAAGACAGGATCCAGTCTGCTCTAGGATAGAAAGCATTCTAAGGAGTGGATTTTCCTGGTGTCAGAGTGGAGCTGGTCTACGGACTTTCATAAGCATCAGGGCAGGCTGCTTTGCCAAGGCTCAGAGGAGAGCAGGTCAGAGTCACTTAGCTGGGTCACTAAAGCATTTCCATGTTCTGAAATGATGGGAGGCTCTGCTTGCCAGCAAGACTTTAAAATAGATTGCTGGGTTCTCTGATCTAGACACTCTTCAGCTACGAAAATGGAATGGAAAGTACACAGAGTTCCCATGGCCTCCATGCTTCCTCCTGTTAGTGCCTCCATCTTGTGTCACTGCTTACACTTTTCCCTGTGGGAGAGCCACACTGGTGATCACAGTGTCAAGGCAGGTCTGTAGAACCCCTGTTTCTGTCTTTGGTGGTCTATAGGTGTGGAGCCTTAATCCTCCTAGTGGTCTCTCCAGAAGCGTTCACTCCTGAGCATCCATGGT